TAATATGAATTGAGCCTAAGAATGTAGATAGTATTCTAGGCTGGCCCATAGTACTTTTGAGTTTTATTCTTACCTGGTATTTGCAACTCACATCATATTTTCCTGAGGAATCTATCCTTAAAATGTGCTAATTTGTTTTTGTGTCACCCACAAAAAAAATCTTTGAATAACTAAATAAAGCCTCAGCTTTAGTTCTCTTATGTATCTTTGGATTTTTTCCTAAGAGAGGGTCCGGCATGGCCAGGTGGTTAAGGCGCTCGACTCGCAATCTGAGGGTCGCGGGTTCGAATCCCCGTTACACCAAACATGCTCGCCCTTTCAGCCGTGAGGGCATTATGATGTGACGGTCAATCACACTATTCGTTGGTAAAAGAGTAGCCCAAGAGTTGGCGGTGGGTGGTGATGACTAGCTGCCTTCCCTCTAGTCTTACACTGCTAAATTAGGGACGGCTAGCGCAGATAGCCCTCATGTAGCTTTGCGCGAAATTCAAAACAAACAAACAATCCTAAGAGAGCCTCAGCTTTATCCTGAACTGGAACCTTATTATTACTCTGTTTTTATTTGTACTTGGAATTTCCTATACTTAGAAATAATTTCTTGCAGGAAATTCGTGACTGTAGTTATATGGTTACTTTGCATATAGCATGGTTTCTTTTATGCCTTTTTTTTTTTTACACAATTGTATCCATTCATAAAACTGTGAGGGAGTGGAGTGGGGTATGTTCTGTAAATTTTTTATACAGCTTTTCGTTGAATGAAAAGCGCTGGTGTCTTTAATGGCATACACTGTTTACCAAAAATGATAGACTTTCGACTGTATATATTTAAACCCAGCACATGTGTATTTACTGTGTCCATCACAACATTTTACAGAGACCCGATTTCTCGGTACTTAAAACAGGAAAAAAAGGGTATCAATTCCCTGTTGGCGTTACACCAGGTCATTTCAAAGAACGAACACACACGAAACTCAGAAAAACCAATATTAGTTGAATAATAGTTTCCTAGGAATAATATGCGAGTGCTCAAATTAATTCGTCAGAGTTATAAGGATTACATTTTAATACAGCTTATTTATCTGTAACACGGATCAGCCGATAATGTAATCCAATCATTATTTTGATTTTTTCTTTCTAGGAATTCAGACACCAAGTTGTTTATTTAGCTTAACCTGCTATAACAAAGTTTCAGTATTAGAACTTACGAAGAGTTTTTTTTTTCTCTCTCTCTCTCTCTTTACTGATGTCTGCCTATACATGTTTCGTATTCTAAAAAGCTTTCGTGATCTGTCGTTATTATACTAAATCAAGTAATGACATAACGCGATACATTTATCTCTCAGTTGTGAAACAGTATTGTAACCAAACAATATTAACTCAAGAATAACACACACACTACTGTGCAGCAGTATGACGTAACAATATGTTTTACAAACACTACGTTTGGAATCCAGTTTGTTAATACTCCAATACATCAACATGTACGATTAAAAGATAATTTTGTTTTATACTTGTTATATTGCGTATTCGCGTACTTCGAGGAATGTCTCCAAATGATGGTGTGAAGCGTTTTGTCTGTATTCGTTATAAGGATTGAGGAATCAGTGATACATGAAGTCCAAGTAATAATGGCTGAAGACGGCTTGAATGGGTAATGAAGAAAAACTTTGATATACGTTTAACATAACAGCAAATGTACAACGTTTCGACAAGGTTTTGTCATTATCATCAATTTAATTACTGACGATCTTTATTTGTATCTACGTAAAACTGATTCACGCACACCACAACTTTATGTTTTTTTAATGACAAAA